GAAGATTGAAAAAGTGCATTATTAATTGTTGAGTATTTCACACACGTCTTATCACCCACACGTGCGTGCATTCTCACACAGTCACACCCATCATAAGTCGTTGTGGTGTCCACCCGCACGAGTGGCTTTGTTTTCTTGTCTTCACTTCTCCCTTTCATTTTCTGCTAAACCGTAAATACAGCTTAGTGAACCCCCAACACGACAATAATTGTGGGTACAAAAATGTTTGCCAGAATGTCGTCATCATCATCCCCCATCAACAAAAGGTTTTCAACTCATTTCTTGTAATCACTTTTTTTTTTATTAAAACAGATTTTTAGGTTCAGAAATTTAAAATAATTTTAATTATAAATTATGTTATATCATATTGAAATAATTTTAGTTAAAAAAATTCTTAAGTGGTGTTCTGAAGCCTTGATTGACATTTACCTGTTAAAGAAATGGTTGGTGTACATCTAATTTTTGGGTGTAAGAAGTAGAAAAATAAATAAATAAAAGAAATATGATATACTAAAATAATATATAAAAATATAAATGTTATATTAATTTTATCAATAAACTATAATAAATTTTTTTTACTAATAATTTATTGATAAAAAATTTATAAAAATATAAATATGATTGTAAATTGTATTAATAGTTACAATAAAAAGATCTTTTACTAATGGTTTATTGAAAAATTTACTTTGAATTTTCACTTATTTTAATTGTAATATATTTCAATTTTGAAGTAAGGCCATCTTCACTTTCAAAATTTATAAAAATGAGGAAAAATATTAGTTAAGGAGCTTTCAGTTGTTTATTAATATTTTTTATAATTTTCTTTTTATATAGATTTTTTAAAGGTTTTTTTTTTGTTTATATCCGTTCAGATAAAGGTATTTAACAGTTTAAGTAATTATTATAGTTAATTATTTTCTTAAATCTCTCATCATTGAACAATTTTATGGTTTTTAAAATCTTTAATATCTTAAAATGATTTTAAATGCTTTTAACTTCAAATTAATTTTTGACATAGTTTATCAACAAATTTTGTTAATCAAATATAGCCTATGCACATATATATCTTTGGTGTTAATAGCATCTAAGCATGATAATTAGCTATATAATTATTATATACAATCCAAAAGCTAAGATGATATTCCTAAAACAAAACATTCTCACATATAGTTTTTACATTCTTAGTTATATTTAATTTTTTGGTTCACATTGATCATACTTTCACTTGAACAAGATTATCTTTGAAAGAGGATATTTTTAAATTAAACCAAAAAATATTTAGTTTTTCCTGCTAAATAATGCAGCCAAAGATTGCCAAGATTAAACCTTGGATGAATTTATCAAGATTGTCTAACAGGATTCCACGCATTATACCTATTGAGATTTGATTCTGGTGAACTTAACCAACGCAAAAGTATTTTTGAAAAACTTGATGTTTCCAGCAGTATTTTACTTGAAAAAAAGCCTTTCATGGCGTCACATACAATAACCAGAGACGATCAAGCACATCTATTTTAAATATATAATGATTATATATATATATATTGTTGAATGTAGAAACAAAAATTAATTTTTTATAAAAATAAAAAAAATAGATTAATAGATTAATAGATTAATTACCTATTTAAGTCTTGATAAATAACATTTAAATCAACTTTTCCCTTTTGATACCCAGCCCGCACTTTGTTTCGATGACCATATGCTTGTCAAATTAAGGATATTAATTGACCTTAGAAATTCAATTCCAGAGGAATGACATTACCTTCCATTAATCAATCCTGCAGGGTGCAATCCAGGCTATTGTGAGTTTATAATAAATTGTTAATGAATTTTGTTTTAAGAAGAGTAACAAATCATATATAGCTAACAAAAACATGTAACTACAAAAATAACAAAGAACAGTAAGAAGAATAATACAGTTCATAGTCACAGCTAAATAAAGCTTTATAAATATTTTGGAGTTTATTAAATTTTATTTTAATGACATTGTTTTTATATGTTTTATCTTTTGGTTACCTCCTTTCATAACAATTATTTATATTTTCATTTCTTATGAACATTCTTAACTGAGCATGCCTTACAATGATGAGATTCTCAAAATCTGTTTGTTGAGTTAGAAATGGCAACAATATATTTAAAAATTATGCAATAATTTCAAAAAAGTACATGAGAACTTTATTCCATTAGAATAAAGTATGTCCATTATTATATATTTATCAAAATAAAAAATTAAAGAAACTTAAATACTTAATCATATCTATGTATCTATTAAATATATATATACAGCCGTATCTATATTAATATGATTCTCACAACACTAATTTGATAAGTAAATATTAATGTCACTAATGTATATATAATAGCAACATATAATAATGATGATACCATTTAATAGAATTATAAATTTTAACTTCTATTCATTATATTAAAGGTTGGTTTAAAAAGATATTCCATAATACCAAACAAATCTGAAATAATAATTAAATATAAAATAGCTACTACACAAATGCTGGCAAGATAACTAATAAATTTACCATAGGTGGATGGTTCTCACTTGCAAAATTGTTACTATCAAATTCATTAATCAATGAATAAAAAAAAATGGTTGTGTAGAATAAAATATAGTGTTAAATTTGACAATTGCCCCAAATTTAAAATTTCTAAGACAATTATACATTTTTTTTGTAAGTATCTTTTAAATCTAGAAGCTTTCTCTTGAACTCAAATGCCATCCTCTCTTTCTAAGACATTTGTTATGAAAAGAAATCATAAAACTATAAAATTATCTTAAGGCTTAGATAACGAGAAATTAGACTATACTTTAATTTTATGTGAAAAGCTAATGTTGACTGCATTCAAATTATAATTATTGAAAAGTTAATGGGCCGAAAATCAAAATGTGGACATAAATATTTAATTTCATACATAATTCGGCACAGCCAAAAGCATTAAAAATATCTATGGGATGCTGGTTTTAAAAATAAATTAAATTCTAAATTTCGATGATGTAACCACAGAGATGTCGAAATTGACCAATCATAGAGAATAAGTGTGATTAGTCATAATCATGGATCGTGTACGAAACGTCAATTTAATTGCTTTACCAAATGTCTTTACAAAATGTCAGTGTTTGGTGTATGAACATGCAATGACTACAAATATTCCTGACGATGATGAAAACGTTCTTGTACATTTGTGTTCGTTGACATTTATAACTAAACCGACAGATCTTATCAGCAATATCTAAAGATAGTATTTGCAAAAAAATTCATGTAAAAAACGCGTCCATGATATTTGAACAAAATAACTCTTTAAATATTGCTGAGGATCCATGCTCAAGATATATTCGTCGTTATTGTTTGACCAACAACTAATTTGATTGTCCAAATATTATCAACTTAGTCTTAAAAAAATATTGGTAATAAATTAATTTTGATGGCTCAAAAAGGTGTTGTCCATTACCAACATGAATCTAAAGGTTGAAAAATCGATTAGACACAAAGAATGCTTCAGTTGAAGTGACTCACAATTTTGGGAAGGGATAAAACCACCTAATAACTACACATCTAATTATGATTTGGTGTTCTACAAAGGGTTAGGATCTCCTTGTTAACAGTCTCTTGATGTCTAGTTATTGAATGATGAGTGATTAAAAGATCGCAACTAGGGCTAGAACAGAGATGATGCTCTTGCAAATAATGTTATTTGACTGGTATCCCATGCTGCCATGCTATATCAAGCATATGGTATAACAATTATGTGCTTGATCATTATACGCATTACAAATATAATATTTTAAATGAAATGATTTTCTTGAAAAGGCCTGTCAATATACATTAATGCATTTTTTTAAAGGAAGAATACCTTTTCAGGTACACTTTCAAGTATAGGATTTAATGTATCAACACAAACGTTTCAATATGTTGAAACATCTACACAATAGTCTTAGCATACCAGCTCAACATTATTTGCACAACCATTACAAGTTGATAGTTTCATACCGACCACAATTATCAGTTGGTTTAATTATTGACACCCTTTCTGTCAGATTGAGTCATTAATCCCTTAGCCAACTCAATTTAAAAGAAAGAAAGTAAGGCTCAAATGAATTTTCATCAACCCATATCAATTTCATGGATCTAAATCTAATTATTATTGGAAGAAAACCACAGATCAGTTTCACATTAAAGTTTCCAACTCAATAGCAAGCGGAATTTCGACCAACGGATAGCTAAACCATAAGAGCGTAAAGCATGAATATAAACTTCTCAAATCATACAAATAGAAATTTGAGCAAGACTTAACAGTCAATTATATAATCTGGAAAATTACTTACATCAATACCCTAACTAAGTGTTTAGTAGCAAATCCTGAATAAAAAGTAGAAAAAATAAAATAACTCCATGGTTGATCTAGATGAAGGAAGAAGTTAATTTCTTACCCAATAAATTTTCTTTTAAAGCTCCCTCATACTTGTTACTCTTTTTATTTTTTAATTTATCAACCTCTATATATTAAATATTAGTCTTCATTCTTAAACAAAACTAATTTTAAAAATGAGCTATATAAAATAGAGTGTTTTTAAAAAAATTTGCTAGTTTGTTAAAGTACTTCAACCCAAGCTTCGAAATTCTAAAGCATTTTTCAAAAATATTCCTAGCCGAAGCTTTGCCGAAGCTTTAGTTTTCAAAGCTCTACCTCTGAACTCTTGGAATGGTTTTGCTCACATGCATTTGGGTTAGGTCTAGCTTTTGATCCATCTTCTCTTATTTTAATGGCCCATCCACAAAACAAAAGAAAAAACTTACCAAAAATTCATTCAAAAAGACTAATGTGAACTCACTAAATACACCTAAACAAAACAATCATACTCAAAATTAACTACAAATGAGCCTTTGTTGGGGAATTAATGATTTTTTAACCACTGTAAAAAGAATCCAGAAAAATAAAAAGACTATTTTAACCCAAAATATTGTTCCAATTTTACCTTATCATAGAACCTCGTCCTTTGTGACTTCTTGCAGTCGCAAACAATAGAACACTTACAATGAGCAAATACATTACAAAAACTCTTCATAACTTCAACCTCTTTCGCATCTTGTGCAACTTCCTCAATAAGCTTTGATGATATATTTTTCCCAATCATTCTCCTCATTGTCATACCATTAGAAAAAGCAGAGCAAGATACATGAATGGACTCCTCAAGATAAATTAAAGCTTACTAACATAAACGCAACTAAACTATTAAAAGGTTAGTTCACATAAAGATAAACAGTGAAATCAATGGTTGCAATTTCACATAAATGGTTGTTTACACATAATGGTTAGTTTATATAAATGGAATTAAAGGTAATACATTCATTTCCCAAAAGAGAGGAGTATAATTTGAAAAATTAGAGAAAGTATTACAACTTTCTGTAGTAATAATAGAAGGGAGAATTTTGTATCTTAGGAAGAAGTTTTAAATATTTATACTCCTTAAAGCATGATTTGTAGAAATTTAATTGATAAATTAAGTGATAATTTTTTTTATGATTATGCCAATTTAAATTTTGATAAATTAGACATTTGATGTGCATTTGAATGGACAACTTAATCAAGATAGTTATTCAATAAATAAGCTCATTTTATTTTATAGTTAATATTATAAATATAACTATAAAATTTATTAAGACAAATTAAAGATAATTTATTATGATAAGTTATATAGAGAAACTTATTAAAATAAGTGTAAAAGAATTAAAAAATTTATAAACCATTTTTCTAAATTGTGTGTAAACTCTTTCAAACACATCATTATAGATGTGTTATTGTATAGTGAAAAATTACTTATATTTTAAAATATATTATATTTATGAAAAAATAAATTCACACATTAAAGTTTGTTAGGCACAAATTTTTATATTACTTTGACCTTTCATAATTTATAAGTACATAAAAACTTAAGTAAAGTCTATATTATCAAGAAAGGTATATAATGTTATATTAAAAAAATTGTGTAAAATAAATAAACATGGGAGATATTAAGTAAAATTTCATGAAGCCTAAGAAGATGTGAGTATAATTTGTCTTATATTAAATAAAAGTGTGCTATGAAATATTATCAAAATTTTAATCCTATGGTATTTTTTAAAGTGAGTTTCCTAAATAAATTTTTTTAAATTTAATTGCATTAATAAAATTTAATATTTAAAAATACTTATTAAATGGGTACAAAAAAAATACTTATTAAATGACATAAGTATCTTTTAAGATATAAATAAACACTCCAACTTTTTAAAAGATTAAGATATGATTATATTAATTTTTTTAAAATTGTCTCTTAATTAGATTTTAAAAAAGTGGTTACTATTTTTTATTTTATCTCATTATTTTAGTCTTTCATATGGAACAAAAATTATATTTTTAAAGAATTAAGTTTGTTGTAAAATTTTTAAAAAATCAATGTGCTAAATCTACTTATTTTGAACAAATAAATTTATTTAATTAATAACAAAAATAAGGTTTGAACAATTTTTTTCATAACAAGAACTATTATCACGCAAATTAATTAACGTAGAGTTGTTTCAATTTAATTAATAAATTTACGTTTAAGTATTTGAAAGTATAAATATATTAAATATTTAATTTTTTTACGTTATCCAGCTTTAGCAAGTATACAAAATGATAAAAGAGAGAGAGAGATAGTAAAAAAACAAAAGAAAAAAAAGTTATTGAATGCCGAGTTATTTCCAAATTTAGCTGTAGTGGGTTTATCAGCTAGCCAAAAGCATTAAATTAAACAGTACACCGTTGCACATGGAGTATATAAATGAACTACGAGTTAATAAAAATGGATATTTAAGCATAATATATTAAATTACATTAATAAAGAGCATGTTTCCAAGTGTAAAGCCTATTTTTTGGCTACTTTCCGCTGCTCCTTTTCTGCTTAAAGACAGAAGAGAAGCTTATAAAAGCACCCCATTGGCTTCACACTTTCATTAGGTTCGATTCCATTCAAACACACTTGCTTTGAGATTTCACGCCAAAAATTGGAAGCTCCATTCCATCAATTGTAAAACCTTTTCCTCACCTTGTATCAAACTGCACATGCAAGTTCCATTTCTTTGAACTTTTTTTTCATTAGAGAGAGAGAGAATCCAACAAGCTAGCTCCATGTCAGACTCACACCTCACTTTCTGTTTTCTTTCTTGCATCCTTGCTCTCATTGTAATCTTCATTTTCATCAGAAGAAGAAAACCAAGGTTCAATCTTCCCCCTGGCGAAATGGGATGGCCCCTTCTTGGGGAAACCATTGGGTATTTGAAGCCTTACCCTGCTATCACAATAGGAGAATTTATGGAGAAGCATATAGCAAGGTAAAAAAAGAAAAAAATTATTAAAAAATCAGCATCCCCCACAAAATTCTAAACTTACCCATGTTCTATTTAAAAGTTAAAAAAATTCTGAAATTAAGATTGTTCAACATGTGCAGGTATGGTACAATTTATAAGTCAAAGTTGTTTGGTGAGCCAGCCATAGTCTCAGCAGATGCAGGGTTGAATAGATTCATATTGCAAAACGAAGGGAAGTTGTTTGAATGCAGCTATCCTAGGAGCATTGGGGGAATACTTGGAAAATGGTCTATGTTGGTGTTGGTTGGGGACATGCATAGGGACATGAGGAATATATCACTCAACTTTCTCAGCAATGCAAGGATCCGAACGCAGCTATTGAAAGAGGTGGAGAAACATAGCCTTCTAGTTATAAGCTCGTGGAAGGAAAATTGCTCATTCTCAGCTCAAGAAGAAGCAAAGAAGGTACCTAACTAACTAACTTGTTTTCTTCTCAAAATTTGATTGTTCTAGTGAAAAAGAAGAGCACAAGAATTAATTAAGAGTTACTTCCGCTTGAATTGTAGTTCACCTTCAATTTTATGGCGAAACATATCATGAGCTTGGATCCTGGGAATCTCGAGACAGAACAATTGAAGAGAGAATATGTCTCTTTCATGAAAGGTGTGGTATCTGCGCCTTTGAATTTCCCCGGAACTGCATACAGGAAAGCACTAAAGGTAATAATAATAATAAATTAATACTTAATTATTAATTTAGAGAACACCCCCTTCTTCTATTTTTAAAACAGTACTGAATTTTTTAATATTTTAACTTTGTAACATTTCCTTTACTTTGTTTTATATATATTACAGTCTAGGTCCACCATACTGAAGTTCATAGAGGGGAAAATGGAAGAAAGGGCCAAGAGAAACCAAGAGGGAAAGAAAAGTTTGGAGGAAGATGATCTTCTAAACTGGGTTTTGATGCATTCAAATCTTTCAACTGAGCAAATTCTTGACTTGATTCTGAGCTTGCTCTTTGCTGGCCATGAAACTTCATCGGTAGCCATAGCTCTAGCTATTTACTTCTTGCCGGGTTGTCCTCGAGCTATACAACAATTAAGGGTAACAAGTACCGCGATGCTACGTGGAATATTTTCTTAGGATTGTACTTTTCAACTTCAAACATCAATAAAAATGTCGAGAAACTTTACTAAACCGATAATTATTATTTTTTCTTTTTGGAAAATAATAGGAAGAACACGTAGAAATAGTCAGATCGAAGAAGCAAACAGGGGAAGTTGAATTGACGTGGGATGATTACAGAAGTATGGAGTTTACTCACTGTGTAAGTCACAATGTTGAACAAATATCTTACACTTTTTTCTTCTTACAGTTCTTTGTATACCCAAATCTTGACCATCCATCGTACATTTATTGATATTTCTAATGTTAAAAAGTCTTCTCATTAACAGCCATAAAGTTGGTGCAATACGAATATATGATAAATAAATTGAGGCATATCAACCTGTCCTTTTTTTTGTCTCTTTATCTATAAAATAATATTATTCAATATTTAAAGTTCGCATTAAAAAATATAAAATGGGATGAAACCCATTAACATGTTTACAAATTACAACAGATCGACATGCATTAATAATAATTTGCTCTTGGCCTTCGTCTTTTTCTTTATGAAGGTTGTGAACGAAACACTTAGGCTGGGAAATGTTGTGAGGTTTCTTCACAGGAAAGCTCTGAAAGATGTTCGGTACAAAGGTAAGTAGGGGAATAGTGTTACTATTAGTTAATATTTTTGGTCGAAAGAAAAGAAAAACGAAAGAGGAAAGATTGGTTTAGGTGCTATAGGAAAAGGGAAAGGTGCCGGAAATCCAAGTCCTTTTGAGTATTGAAAATGTGTGTGTGTGTTTGAAAGGTTATGACATTCCATGTGGGTGGAAAGTTCTTCCGGTGATTGCAGCGGTGCATCTGGATCCTTCACTTTTTGACCAACCTCAACAATTCAATCCATGGAGATGGCAGGTCAGTTCTATTTATAACTATAGATTGCACGCCTTGTATGATTATTATCCATTACTTTTTTTTTCCTTCTTTTCTAAAGCCATGGTTTAAAGTGTATGTTAGAAAAAGGGAAAATGATTAATAAGCACTAAGTAGAGGTCCCCATCCCCTAGCACTTGAATTGAATTGTTGCTTGCTGTGGATTCCCACATGCAATCACTCCATTCCTTGGAGCGGTGTGGCCCGGGAGTGAACAAAATTCAATTATAATTGATGTTCAGATTTTGCCATAAAGGGTATTAGTTGCCTTGCTTATAGTCAATCTTGGCCAAGACAGAATGGATAATTCCTTACACTAATCTTATTTGTGTTTGATACTTCAGCAGACATTTTAGATCCATGTAAATGTATTTTATTATTTTTATTTTCATTTTATCTTTTTACTTTTATATTAATATAGATATAATTATTATACTAATTAAAATAATAATATATTATTAAATTTAATTAAAACTCATTGACATTATGAATTATTACATAATTAAAATTCGTTACTTTTTGTAATAATTACTTTAAAAATCATATATCAGATAAATTTTAATTGATGATATTATGATTATTTTATATTCATGACATATCAAAATTAAATTCTATGTTATTTTGTTTGTAAAAATTATAGGAAAAAATTATTTTGTTCAAAATTATCATTTTATGCTAATTTATAATTTATACATTATGTTATAACTTACAGCCACCTGATATTTTATAATTTAAAAATTGATTAAACTCCTATGTTAATATTATGTATGCTAGTTGAATGGCTAAGCTTATATAGGTCACAGACTCGCAGCTCCTTTAGTTTAGTTTTCTTACTTTCTAGTACAAAACACTTCACATTCGGCGCTTCAGAATCAGGCCCCCACATGCGGTAGACACGCCGTACAGCTTTGACAAAGCTAAAAGAATGCTTGATCCGTTTATCGTTGTTGTTGACTTAGTCCTAACTTGATAGTTCTATTAGAGTTAGATTCTCTAAAATATCCACACTTTATAGTACGGAAATAATTAAATAAAATGAACTGTTTTATGAAAAAGTGAGTATTTCTCATGAAGTTTAATTTGGGGTGGTCGTGAGAATCAACATTTTGTATATTTATGGTTCGATTATAGGCAATCATAAAGACTGAAACTTAAAAGTAGAGAATTTAGAATATTTTAAAAAGTCTCTAGTGGTCATGAAGCATGTCCAAGTTAAAAAGGCTAAATTTCACGTTGATGAACAAAGTGATGGCTGAAGAAAGAAGGGTATGAGGGTTAGTGCACAAGTGCTCGCAAGTGTTGGGTGTGGTTAGCTGTTGGTCACGATTAGCATTAACATGGGTAGGGATATAGTAGCTACAGATCAAGTGTCGTAATCGGCGGAGAAGGATCTTGGGAACAGTGAGGGTCCCACTGGATGCCATGATGATGATCACGCCTCTTTCTGTGCACGTGTGGCCATGGCCCTGTGGTTCCGGATCATAAATGCCCGTGTGCAAGTGGGCCTCTCACGTGCACGTGCATGTATCTGTGCCTTTTCTTTTCCACCATCTCCTCTTCTACTCTTTCTACCCGCTCTTCATTTTTTACTTTTATTCAGATCAAACACGAAAAATACCACCGCTGAATGAAACAATGTATCTTCGTTTAATTTTGTCTTTTTTTTTGGGTCAAAGTTTAATTTGTCTAAGGCCTTTTAAAATTAAGTATTCAGGTCCAAAATAAAAATCTTCAGGCCTCTTTTGGTGTCAACTTTAAAGGCCCAATGGAAGCCCATAAGTCATCCACTTTTTAATGGGATTGTCAGGCTAGACTTAAAACACAAGCTAGGGTACCAGCAAACTTAAAACACATTTAAAGGGAGATTAAATTCTCCATATAAACCAGACCCTAACTAGCCATATTAACGTTAATGCTAATAGAGGTCAAACCTTCTAATAATAAGCCAACAATGTAACAACTCAATAATTTTTAACAAAAGCTAACATTTGTTTATCTTAATCAGAGGAATAGTTTTATTTCTGTTACCTGTAGTGTAGAGTAACTTATATTATTCGCAAGGTATCAATTTATACAAATATTTTGATTATATTATTTTTGCTTCAAATATTGACAATGAGGTTGGATGCAGGGCAATAATAAAAGTGGAAATTGTAAAAACACGAACAATAACTTCATGCCGTTCGGAGGAGGAACAAGGTTGTGTGCGGGATCAGATTTAGCTAAACTTGAAATGGCTGTGTTCCTACACCACCTCGTTCTCAACTACCACTGGGAACTGGTCGATGCAGATCAACCTGTTGCATACCCTTTTGTTGATTTCCCCAAAGGCCTATCCGTCAGAGTCCAAAGCTACAAAACAGAAGGCATAGCATGAAAATTGGTTGAAACTAGCGCGTAGCTTACATGAACGTAGGGAAGACAGATGAAACCAACTAGCTAGTTTTCAAAACCATGCATTAGGATCACTACTTTCTCTACTCACATTTTCTTCTCGCTCTTGTTTTCATTATATCCTGTACTCAACCTGCATTGTACATCATTTTATATATTCCTCCCATGTAGGACTAGTGAATACTAAATGCATGCAATGTGAGTAGTATGACATTTACTTTCCATCCTCACTGTAATTCACCTTCTGTATTATATACAAATAATCCAATAACCTTTAGTACTACTGTGTTCTGCTACTTTCCTTCAAATTTCCTTCTTCAAGCGAAAATGATTTTGTCTTTAGCATCACTGTGACTGTAATTGAATTACACTTGCTCCCGACACAAGGTTACATAGTACTGAAAACAATGAGAATTTTATAAGGATATGGCGATGGTCAAATCATAACATGTTATAGATTTTGCTTGTAAGAGTACTTGGGACTAAGCTGCGGATTCCATTTTGACACTTATTGGACAATGGACATTCCTCCACCGGATGATCAATCGTCTATTATAATACCCACCTTTAGTTTGAGAAAATAAAATATAATAAAACGCAATCTCTTGTGAAAAATAAGGGGACACGTCACTGATCCTATATATGATCCAAAAGACACTACAGGGCAAGATGTGTGCCAGGGAATTAGGATTAACTATAACACTATAAAGGGAATCTAATCCTCACCCAAAGATCTAGATACCCATCGAAGTTGAATGCAATATGGGGAGATTACCCCTCACTGCAAGCTTTGGCACTTCATGTTCAGCGGAGTTTCCTTTTTTGGCATCCCAAGGAATCCGTGATGAATTGGATTAAACTTATCTTTCGAAACTATCTCATTATTGGGATACTACTTTTTTCAATGGCAACCAAGAGTTGAGCATAATGGTCGGATACTTGTAGAATTATTTTTTATGAAATTTACTTTTCAAGTTATTGAATATAATTAAAATACGCACATAGTTTAATCTGAATAAAATATTTTTATTAAAAATTATGAAAATTAATTTTCTACTTTAAAATAATATTCTTTAAAATGATACTTCAACGCTTAAACTTGTTTAACTTGGGTGAATGGAGTGAGTTTATATAAGACGTAGAGACAAGTAAATTAATTATATACACGATAGGATCCAATCTTTATGTTACACTGAAACGTCAATAACACTCAGCTGAATTATTTCAAAAACTAACATGAGAAACTTATATGCATTTGGTTTCAGAAGGACAACCGCTTTAACCTTCTTAAGGTGTGTTTCAGCATACACTATTGGATCTTCATTTCACTAGCATCTGACTTGCCTCGTTACTGCTACTTGAGGAGAATTACTTGGCTTTTTGCTTCTTATGCTTTGATCTTGGATCTTATGTCAAAAAATTTTTACTAGCATATTTTTACTTTTGTCAAAAAATTTGGTTTAGGATCTTATGTCATTGCAATCATAAGTTGTCGTAGTATCGTAGACAATTAAACATGAACTCTAGCTAGAAATTTTCAGTGAGATGGCTTCAATAGATAGTATATTACGATTCTATATATTATTTTCTGAATTTCCTTTCTTTCGGAGTTTATTGCACGGACTTTTCAAATAATGGTTGAAGCGCAATAATTGGAGATACAATTACCTCCTTTTTAGTATTTGTCCAGGATAGGGTTTTTATCGTAAGAGTTTGGAAATGATAATTAAAAAAATAAAAAGGGGTGAAAATAGTAAGAAAAAAAAAGGGTGCAGAACGCAATATTCATTAAGGTTGGATCTGGATCCTTTCCGGTTTACACGAGAACAGAACCGTCTAATTTCAATTTGCATAAACGAATCCTTGCTCAATGTAAAGTAGAGGTTCCCACTTAAATTCGCTTATGTAGCGAAGCAAACCGTGAAATCAATGTTGAATGTTTGGTACATAGGGCAGCAGTGGTTGTTCTGGTCGATGATATAACTGTTGAAAATCCAATAAATTTGCAGATCCGATTTTTATGCTATTTAAAATAAAAGTCATGTTAACTATTTGTTAAGTTTGTTTCTTTCCTTTTTTTAGGAATAATTTGTTTGTAGTTTTTATCTATCAATTCTGTTTTAGATTTGTTTTATATATAGTTGCATTGCATATATGAATAAAAAAATAATTTTTAAAGTTAAGTTTCCGTTTTTGACTCCTTTCACTCTTTACATCAATGTAAATAAAAATAAGAAATTGATATCGAGTCCTTATCTTTGAGGGATTTGTGAATTGAGAGAAACACTAATAGAAGAAAACATTATGGTGAGGAATATGAGTTATGGGCTGCAAGGATAATCTATCATTTTGAAACATTGAATCTTTGGGAGGCAGTAGAAGAAGAATTATGACGTTTTTGTATTGCCTGAAAATTCAACGCTAGCTCAACTAAAGTATCACAAGGAGATAAAGACAAAAAAGACAAAGGTAAAAAATTGCCTTTTTTCTGCTATGTCAAAAATTACTTTTACAAGAATTATGAATTTAAAATCTGCCAAAGAGATTTGGGATTATCTCAAGAAACAATATTCTAGTTGTGAAAGAATCAAAGGCATACAAGTGCTCAACTTGGCTAGAGAATTCGAAATGCAGAGCATGAAGAAGACATAAACAATTAAAAGCTATGTTGATCGATTCATGAGTATAGCAAATAAAGTGCAGCTTCTCAGGAAAGACTTTCCCGATAAAAAAATAGTTCAAAAAATATTAGTTACTGTACCAGAAAAATATGAATCAAAGATATCAGCATTGGAGGACTCAAAAGACCTGTCAACCATCACCTTGGGAGAATTAGTAAATGCTTTACAGGCCTAGGAGCAAAGAAGAATGATAAGGAAAGAGAAGACTGTACAAGGTGTTTTTCATGTAAAAGCACAAAATTCAAAATGTGCCAAAAACAACAAATGGGAGAACAAAAAGCTAGAAGGCACTAACAAGTAGCAAGCAAGGTGAGAACTTTCTTGTAACACTCTCTTTTAATTTTTTGTTAATTTATGTTTTGTTTAATATTAAGTAGTATTAAAGTGCATTTAAAAGAAAGTATAAAGAATTTTTGGAAGAATTTTGGTGTAAAAGATCTCGCTTAGGCGAGGTAAATCTTGCTCAGACAAGATTTGAGCATGCAGAAATACAATGTTGTATGGCTATCTCGCTCAGGCGAGATGATTCTCGCTCAAACGATATATGATTAATTCAGCTTAACTGTCACCTCGCCCATACGAGAGTGATCTCGCTTAAGTAAGATGGGATATCTCGCCCAGGCAAGATAGGTCGCTCAAGCGAGGACTCACAAGAGAAATATCATGCTCTCTGGACGCTATCTCGCTTAAGCGAGATGGAGTTGGCTCAAGCGAGCATATCAGAAAATAGTGGGCAAAACCATTGTTTGCATATCTCGCTCAGGCGAGAGACCCATCGCTCAAGCAAGATGTCTGTTGCTCAAGCGAGATGTTCCTCGCTTAAGCGAGAGCGCGCAAGGTTGAGAGGTATTTAAGAGATTTCTAGCATAGAAATTTTATTTTATTCTAAACTCACGTCTCTCTCGCAGTTTTCTGTGAACTCTCTCTTCTATTCTCTAGATAAAAGCTTCAGAAACTCTGATTTCTTCTCAAATCCAAGTTTGGAAGTTGAATCTAAATAACTCTAAGTAAGTTTCTTCAGATTAAACTTGATTTTCTTCAATTATTTTTCATGTTTTGTTCCTTATAGATATCTCTTGGTATTCAGGAGAACTTCAATAGTTGACCCTTGATCCCTTTCAACATCTCTTTGTGAACTCATCTTCGAGATAAGGAGGACTCTATTTTGTCATTATACTACAGTATTTATTTCGTGCTCATTAGAGCACTGTTACATGAACATTTTATGAGAATATGTGATTGAAATATCTATTGTATGAATAATGAATAAAAAGATGCTTGTTTGATTATTTGTACTAAATGGCTGTTATATGCATTATACGATGAATGCTTAATGTGAAATATTATGAAACTTGCTGAGTGATTATGTTGTAATTTTTATGAAATATGTATGGATGAAATGATATTAATCTGAAGGATTTAATAATTGTACCTACCTTAATAAGGGTATGAGTGGAATGAATTTAGTCTGGAAGTACTTTACTAAGCACGATCTTATGAATGGAAAAAAAGATAACTCTAAGAATGACTTAAGAGTCGAATATGGATTGGATTTAGTGTGAATAGTTACAGAAATACATTGGGGGTATAAATTCCAGAGATGATGAAAATATGGAGGAAATGTAGGGTGGTGAGGGATATTCGTGTATGTGTACACACGCTTTCTGAGAGTGAATGCATCACATAACCTCACACTCATTTCCTGACTAGACTTCTGACTATGCCTTTGCTAAGAGGCCTGATTATTGTACATGTTGTATTCGTGTGCATGAGCTAACTGGCGACTATTTACCTAGTTAAATAAGACCTTAAGAAATGCTGAAGGCATCAATACCTATGATCACAGTGCACTGGGAGTGCGTATTGAAATGAGAGAATGAAAAATGTGTAATAAATTACTGTGTTGTGCAGATGTGAATGTGTTTGCAATATGAATAAGTGTGAAAATAGATGTATTGTATTTATATTATAAGTGATGATTTTGTGATATAATGTTTTAAAAATGATAGAATAGACGCTCATCCTTACTAATATTTTCAAGAAAACTTGATGACGGAGCCTTAGGGAAGAGTTAGATTAATAGATAATTCAGTACATAATAGGCTTAATTTTGTATTTAATGAATATCAAAGACTATGTTACTTTAAATTTGTTGTTCTTGTGGAAAATGAACCTAGGACGTTTGTTATGTTAGAGATGGATTTCTTTTGTAGTATTTCGTTTGATTTTCCTAGGAGTAGAATACATCATACCCTATGTATCTTTATGTACAGTGCTATTGTTAGAATTCCAGCAGCCCTCACATATTTATTTACCTATTACGACCACGACCACCTCGAAAGACTATCCAGATGGACCTTTTAGCGTGTTACTGGCATAGAGGTCACAACTGATTCAGGTGATCGTTGCCTGAGATTAGATGATGATTTGAATTTGGAGGATTTGGCCGACATAGAGAGTTGGGATGCTAGTGATGAATAGAACCGATCTTCAGTAGTTTGGTTATGGGGAGACTGCTCTAGGACTTGAATTTGCATATATGTTGTAATTATTTTGATTATGTAAATATTGTTTGAAGTCCCATATATTTTGACAAACAATTTGTAAACTTTTATATCTGATATAAGTAATGTATATTTAGGTTTCCTACTGTGAATACTAAATTTTAGTTGTAATATTTATTTATTCTTTCTGTAATTTATTATTATTGTTCTGCTAGCATTGCAAAGTTTGAAATTATCATCTACATATGTCTATTGAAAAGAGAACTGCAAAATTTTTTTATAATAAAGTTCATTATACACAAAATTTGTATTTTATCTCAATTTATAAGTGATGAAATATACATTGTACAGATTTAAAATTTTAGGACGTTACATTTCCCCCTTGTCCACATTGCAAAAAGACAAATCATCCAAAGGAAAAATGTTGGTGGAGGCCAGATATCAAGTATAGAAAATGTGGTGATTTGGGACATGTAGAGCGAGTCTGCATGTCTAAATCAGAAGAGATAAATGTGCCTTTAGAGGAGCAAGAAGATGAGCAACTCTTTATTACAACATGTTTTGCTACAACCAACTGTTCTAGTGACTCATAGTTAATAGACAGTGACTGCACAAACCACATGACCAACAACAAGAAGCTTTTTAAAGAACTTGACAAAACCACCATCTCCAAAGTAAAAATTGGAAACGATGATTTTATCTTAGTTAAAGGGAAATGAACCATTGCTATTGAAAGCTTGATAGGTTTGAAGTATATCTCTGATGTTTTATATGTGCCTAACATTGACCAAAATTTGCTTAGTGTTGCACAACTTGTGAAAAAGGGCTTCAAAGTCATATTTGAAGATAACTGGTGTTTGATCAAAGATGCAAAAGGCAAAGATGTATTCAGAGTGAAAATGAGATCTAATAGCTATGCTCTAAATATGATGGAGGAGGAGCAAATAGCTTTTTCAAGCACAACCACCAATGCTGATCTACGGCATAAAAGACTTGGACATTTTCATCTTGCAAGACTGTTATACATGCAGAAACATGCCTTGGTGAAAGGTGTCTTGATGCTTGAAGACGATGCTTGAAGACAAGTTGGTAGATTGTGTGGCTTGCTAATTTGGTAAGCTAATCAGAAAACCATTTCCTCAAACCACTTGGAGAGCAACTTAAATGCTACAACTAGTTCATACAGATGTTGGGAAACCTTAGAGAGTATTGTCTTTAAATGTATTTGTAGAAAATCAAAGTGGTTGCAAGTTACAAATAAAAAGGTCTGACAATAAAAAAGAATATACAAATGACGTTTTTGATAAATTTTGTGAAGAAACTGGCATTGAGCACCAACTTACAGTACAATACACCCCACAACAAAATGGTATAAGTGAGAAAAGAAATTAGAAGCATCATGGAGATGATGAGGTGTATGTTACATGAGAAAGATTTACCAAAGAAGCTGTGGGCAGAGGCAGCAAACACTGATGTATTTTTGCTGAATAGGCTACCAACTAGAGTTGATAACAAACATTATAGAAGCTTGTTGGTTACTTAATATATCTTACTGCAACTAGACTTGACATTTTGTTTGTAGTAAGTTTACTTTCAAGGTTCATGCATTGTGCTAGTAAAATACATTTTCAAGCTACCAAACGAGTTGTTAGATATATTAAAGGCACTTTAGATTATGATGTGATGTACTCTCATTCTCATAATTTTAAGCTTCATGGATATTCTGATATATTGACTAGACATGTTGTGTTAATGACATGAGAAGCACCTTTGGTTACTGTTTTTCTTTTGAATCTAGAGTTTTTTTCTTGGTGTTCTAAAAAACAAGATGCTATAGCTCAGTCAACCGTTAAAGTGGAGTATGTAGCTTCTATTGTTGCTGTGAATCAGTATCTTTGGATCAAGAAAATTATGACAAATTTGAATATGGAACAAGAAGAAAGCACATAGATTTTTATGGACAATCAAGTTGCAATATCAATTGTCAATAATTTGGTATTTCACGGCAAAACTAAGGATCTCAAGATAAAGCATTTTCTTTTAAGAAAGGTTCAAAAGGGAGGAAAAATTAATTTACTAAACAACAAAACATAGAATCGCACTTCCAACAGTCAAATTTGAATACTTGAAACAAAAAACTTAGAGTTTGCAGTTCTAAAGTCAAGAAGGAATATTAATGAGATAACTGTTAGAATCCTAATAAATCTGAAAATTCAACTTTATGCTATTTGAAATAAAAGTTATGTTAATTATTTGTTAAGTTTTTTTATTTCTTTTTTTTAAGAATAATTTGTTTGTAATTTTTATCTATCAATTCTATTTTAAATTTATTTTATATACAGTTGACCGCATATAAATAAAAAAATGTTTTACGAAAATAAGTTTTTCTTTTTACTCCTTTCACCCTTTACATCAATGCAAATAAAAACAACAGTTCTGGGTCTGGGTTAATACATGCTTCTTCGTCAAGGACCTCAAAAGTAGCCTCCATCAATTCATCATCTAATATGGGTAGCAAAACATGTATATTCACTTTTGAAAATTTCCACGATTCCAGTTGTACGGAAAAAAAGAATAATCTAAAGAATAGCCAGTAGAAACTTCTCATCCACCAGAGCCCTCTTCTGTCTCTAGTGAACCATTGCTCACTCTAAAGCTTGGTAAATAGTAGATGTTCGTCAGAAGTGATTCCAAGAACCTATCTTTCTCTAAGGATATCATTTCATCTTTAAGCCTAGAAAAGAAATGTAAGTCCAATGAAGGTTCCATGGTCTGCTAGAGTTTGATGAAAAAAAGAGAAGTTGCAGAAGACGTATTTCAGATCATAACGTAAGGCGCCATAAACCTCTCCTTGAAGTTGTCCAAGTAAGTCCTGAACCACTGCTTTGTATTAACTAAGGTCTTAAGTAAATCTAAATTTGTTTCTTCTTAAATTAAAAAGTTATCTACTTTTTTCTTTACTGTTTACACTGTATTTTGATTTGTTTTTTTTAAATTCTACTCAACACACCCATTTTTATTTTTTTTTACATCTCATTATCTTATTTCTTAAGAAAAAATATGATCAGATAAGGAAAGAACTGTGTTAAAATACTTAAAATTATCTCTTGCGAAGGTTAAAAATACTATTGAGTTGATTTTTCTTTTGAAAAATAACTTTATCCATTAAAAATAATTTGAAAATTCTTAGAAGAAAATTCTCTTTCTAAAATTCATCCTTAGGAGGATTGTGTTTCAGAGGAACTTGTAGGCGTCTAGGACTATGCCATATCTTGATCCCTTGTTTTTGAAATGATGAATGATTTATTACTCATCAAATAATAATTGTTGCTCTGATTCGTGCAATTCATTCAGTTCCATTCGTATAATTGAGTGAATTGATTAAATTTAGACGTAATTAAATTGAATAAGTAATAAACACATGGAAGCAATTATATCACTTATTTAAGATCACCTATACTTATAAATAATAATTCGTATTATTTAAAATTTTGTTAATCTCAACTCTTTTAAAAGAAAATAAACGAATAATAATACTAAAATTTATTAAAAAAATATTATTTTATTTTATAATTTTAATATATATATCATAATTTTTTTATTTAAGAATGTTTAAAGGTTAATACAATTCTATTATTTATTAAGAAAAAATGTTATAATTTCTTATTTTTAAAACTTTAATAAATGATATTGCAATTTAAAAAGTTAAAAGAATAAAACAAAGTTAACAAATTATATTAAATTATCCCCCAAATAAAGATCGCTTAACAGTTGAAAATATTTATATACGTGCCTATCTTGTATTAACCCATTCCAAAGGCAAAGCAATTGGCCAGCATATTTTGCGTCTTTATTCACACTCGTCATCGCTAAAAATCAAACCAATCGGAGTTTTAAGTTCATTTGGATCGGTCATGAAATCTATTCACAATGTACTTTTTGTTTGGCAGCTGTGGTGATTTAGAAGGCAACGTGGTGTGTCTATATCATGTCAGTCGTGGCCTAAAGCGCACCAAAGATCCTCGCTTTTTCACGATGCACACACTTCGGCCTTGCCACTTGTCTCTACGTTAATTCTCCTACGTGGACCGAACTAGCTCTTATTGTCGCCGTCACCGATCCTCCCCTTCTTTCTATGAAGCACAAAGCTGATTGAAAATTGCTGCACTCCTAATCACATTCTATATTTCCATTCGTTAATCGTTATTACTAACTTAGATTAAAGGTTAATTTCTAAAAAGATTATATAAAATTCAAAATACCTATTTTCTATTCACAGCAGAGTTGGCGTGGCATTTCTTCCATTTATTCCGACCACCCAATTTGCTACTTGTCGAAAGAACAAACGCGAAAACAGGCATACATAAAAAATGGTCACGGGGAACATGAAAAATATAAATTAAATTATTTAAAGGGCATAGAGAAAGAGTTGATACGAGAGAGGCACACGCATCAGAGACACCATAAATCGAAACAAAGCGAGTTAGAGAGAAAGACAGAGTGAGAGCGTTTCGGAAATGTGGCGTTGCGTGGCTCGTGCTATTCGCGTACCAGCTTCTGAGAGATCCAAACCTAATCATCAACAACTTGGATCTCACCTTTCGAGATTTTTCTCTGTGCGAGTCAACCGTCTATTCCTCTCTCGATTGTTTATTTCCAATTCGTATATAGAGAAAATTTTACTTTCGATTTGAGGATCTCTTTGGATGCAGTAATCTTATCTTTTCGTTCTTTTGGGTTCTCATTGGGTTGTGTGGTTTTACTGAAACTGCATCGTTTTGGTTGTTGTGCAGAGTGGTGTGAACTCGTCTTACAATGTGGTGGATCATAAATACGATGCGGTTGTTGTGGGAGCCGGTGGCGCAGGGTTGAGAGCAGCCATTGGACTTTCGGAACATGGCTTCAACACTGCTTGCATCACCAAGCTCTTCCCAACCCGTTCACACACTGTTGCGGCTCAGGTATGAGATCTTCTTGAGCTTCCACTATTTATGTGTTTTCATATGCATTACTTTAGTTGTAATTTACCTGTCGGTAAGTGTAAATGCTCAATATAGTCTAAGGGTCTATCACTTTGGTCCTGACCTTATAACAATCCCACTTTAGTCCTTAATTTTTGTTGAAGATAGCTCTTTTTAATCCTTTCCTACTTCAATTTTCATTGTCATCCTTAATTTCTTAAAGATCATTCTTTTTAATCCTTTTCTAATTTATTTCTCGTTTTCATTTTGCATAAAAAAAGGACTAAAATGAATGTAATTTTGTAAAGTTTGAGATTGAAGTGAGAATTTTGTAAAGTCAGGGAGGAAAATGATGGACAGTCACAATTCGAGGGACTAAAATGGGTATTACTCCTTATCATAATATAGGATTTTCCCCTTTGCTGATCCTTTTTGTTTTTTGTGTTTCGGTTGCTTATTCTGTGACATAACTAGTCTCGCTCGAATTCAAATTTTTTAGATACTTTCTTTATCCAATTTTGAATTAAAAAGGAACAAAAAAATAATCTCGAAATCTTCTTCTTTAAAAAAAAAATGAAATTGTTACTTTTTCTTAATTTCATTAGAAAAATAAAGTATCAAAATAATTTTTAAATCTATTTATTTTATCCAAAATAAAAAAGAATGATATTTTTTATAAATAATTTATTCCTTTAATTCAAATAAAAGAAATTGTTATTCATTTAAATTTTAAGAGTTAATAGTCAAATTAGTTTCCTGGTCATATTAATCCTGAATGATGGAAATTTAGCCCAATGTTCTGAAGTGTGTATTGTTGGTCAATTAGTCCCTTGATGTGTATTTGTCGACCAAAATAGAACCTATAGGTTCTTGACGTGAGTAATTTGATTTAGACGAAATAATATTGAACATTGAGTGTAATTTCCATTTTTCTTGGAACTAATAAGATGACGCTATGGCTTGAAGGGGTTAATTTGACTGTTTATTCTTTTAAATAAATCTATTCATGGATAACGGAATTAGGGCTGTTGGTGACAATTTTAAATAGATGAATATAGCATTGGTATCTTCTTTCAATTTATTATCTCTCTGATGATCATACTCAGAAATTTTTACGTATGTTGTAAATTTGATATTACCCATTAATTATTGTAAGTTTGGTAATGTATTGTATCCCGTTATTGTTATCTAATGATCACTTATACCCCAACACTTCATCTTTGTTTGACATCTTTTTTGGGGATGAAAGACTTTTAAACTCAGTTAAGCTGGTTATTGTTTTATATTGATGAATGAAGGTTTGATCGGCTCTGTGTACCATATCATTATGTAAATCTGCTTGTCTAATTAATTCATGAATTAAAAATTATTGATGGTGCTCCAATGTATTAAGTTGGGCTATTCCACTCTGACCCATTCTTCTGAAATCCGAATATACTGGCATGCTCATGCATGGGAATGAAATTATGTGCAGGGTGGTATAAATGCTGCACTGGGAAATATGACCGAAGATGATTGGAGGTGGCACATGTATGACACTGTCAAGGGAAGTGATTGGCTTGGTAAAGGCTCAATCTTAAAAATTTTACTTTGCATTGTGTCCTACACAATTTTCAAATAATTAGAACTACTAGAAGTTGAGTAGTTTGCCATTATGAATATCATGACTGGTAGAAATTCTTTGAGTGGTTTTTTATTTCTTTTGTGGATGTGAAAAATCAAGCACTGTGTTCTACAGGAGACCAAGATGCCATCCAATATATGTGTCGGGAGGCACCAAAAGCAGTGATTGAGCTTGAGAAGTATGGGTTGCCATTTTCACGAACTGAGGATGGAAGAATATACCAGCGTGCATTTGGTGGACAGAGCTTAAACTTTGGAAAAGGTAGATGTAGATTTTGGAGGAAGGGTATTAGCCTTCTTGCTCTAAGCGTTTTGATCTTGACTTGCTTATGTTGCTATGGTATAGGTGGTCAGGCATATCGTTGTGCTTGTGCTGCTGATCGAACTGGACATGCTTTATTGCACACTCTTTATGGTCAAGCTATGAGGCATAATACCCAGTTTTTTGTGGAATATTTTGCATTAGATCTATTAATGAGTAGTGATGGTAAGCCACTCTATCAATTAGTTTGCTTTCCATTAAAACAATTTGCAATCAATTAATTGAACAAGGCCTCAGCATTTAATGATCATTTATGACTAAAAACTTTGTGCACAATGCTGCAGGAAAATTATATCCTTAAATTATATTTTAGGCATTCTCTTTTGTTTTTTTTAGTCTGAATTTTTTCTTTGATTGTTCAAATTATCATGTTTTAATTTGTAATCCGCCAAATTCTAACAGCGAGTAGTACCACAGTTTTGCCTAAAACTATAATACAAAGGTAAATAATAGTGTATTACACAATTTTTTAAAAGTTTTTCCTGGATGACAATTGGGATTATAATGAACAGCACGTCAGGAAAAATATGTATTTGTAGGAATAAAACCTCACTATGTTGGCATGTTCAAAATGGTATGAAAGCAACTTCAAAAGTCAAGATTACAACAAGGGGGGTGTATCGCATGTTTTTCCCCACCCATCTGGAAAATAGAGTCAACCATTACAATGTTAGAGTAGAAATTAAAAACTGAAATTATTTTATGTTTTATGCATATTTGTGGAAATCTAAAGAATTTAGATTCCCTTCTCACCATACCTGCTAACTCCTTTGTTCATATTATGACCAGTATGCAAGCAGCAAGACTGGTGAGGGAAGTAATGAGTAAAACTTTTAAAAATTCAATGTCACATGTCATATGAACAATTCACCAAAAGCTAGTCTTCCTTTTTATCTATATTTAAGATGTGAGATATTGGCTATATTTTCTTATTAGTTATCACGTATTTCTTATTTTTCTCCCATCTAAATATTTCTTATCCTTCATATTTACAATATGTTGTTATTTGTTTGTGATAAGCTTTCTTAAACATTTTCATTGGTGAAAAACAAGTTGACGTTTGTGTGTTGGAGTTGATGGCAACAACAACAATAACAAATCTTAACCCACTATGTGAGTTAGACAACATGGATTATTCAACACCATTAATCTTAGTAAAAAACTAAACTTTTAGAAATGTTTGTAATGTCTCTTTTAATAACTTTATCTAAGATGCATTTAAATTTCTCTTGACTCCTTTACAGTGAAGTAAAAGTCATGCACTCCAATTTCCTCATGTATACTATCATTTCTTATTCTGTTTTTTCTCATGAGACTACTCATTTACTTTAACATTCTTATTTTTGCTACTCATATTTTCTTCTTGTGTTGTTCCATTAAGGTTCGACATTCACTATCATAGGATAGCTGATTCATATTATAGTAGGGTAAAACTTTTCTTTTATTTTGATAGGTACTTTATAGTCACATATAAGCTTAATGTTTTTTTCCACTTTAACTACTTAATTTATAATTTATGAGTAACATTTTTATTGATTTTTCATTATTTTATATAATCAATTCCAAGGACTTGAAGCTGGAAACTAGTAATATAATATTATTTTCAATTTTAATTTTCAAAGCATAATTCTTGTATTGTTCTTTGCTAAACTTACAATGCATATACTCTTACTTTTATTCAATCGAAAACTCTTAGTTTCTAAAGTTTTCCTCTATATTTTAAGTGTAACATTAACCTCTTCTTTCGAATTGTCAACCAACATTATATCATCCGTGAAGAACACTTTGGTATAATCTTTTATATGTCATTTATAAGCACATTTAAATTTAGATTAAAACAAAGCTTAAAGCGGAGTTTTGATGTAAACCTACCCATATTGAAAAGTCCTTAGATATACCTCCAGGAGTTATCATGCACATAGTTATTCCTTCATACATATCTTGTTTAGCTCAAATATATGCTACACTGAGCCTTAATGTTAACCCATCCCTATTGAGAAGTCTTTAGATATACTTTCAAAAGTTTTCATACACATAATTATCTCATCATACATGTCTGCACAGCCCAAATATATGCTACATGGACTTCTTCCTTTTTTATAGTCTTCCAAAACACTTCTCTTGATATCCGATAGTCTGAAAATGTACTTTTTTCAAGTCATTAAAAGTCATATGTAAGTCTTTTTTCTTTATAGCGATACTTTTCTATCATTTTTTGTAAAAAAATATATAACTTTTTGTTGTACACTTTCCTAATATAAAACCAAATTATTTTTTTTCAAGCTCAGTTTTCTCTCATAAGCTATGCTCCATTACCTTTTCCTATAATTGTATAATGTGACTCAAATTTAATCCTTTTATAGTTTGCATAATTTTGGAAATCACCTTTATTCTTGTATATAGGAACCGAAACACTCTTCTTCCATTCATCTTACATATTTTTAAATTTCAAAATCTTATTACAAAGTTTAATGAGTTACTAAGTTTTTGTTTTCTCAAACTTTTTCCAAACTTTTATAGGAATATTATTAGAGTCAACCGTTTTACCTTTGTCTATCTTCTTTAGAAATTCTTTTACTTTTTCAACTTAAATCCTACAGTAATATGTCAAACTTATATCATTCGCTTACACTACTATCCTGCTATATTTTTATTTGTTCCTTATCCATCGTTAACAACTTTATAAATATATTTCTCCCATTTGTTTTTGTTTGACATGAAACCATCATTTTTCCTTCTTCATCCTTAATTCATCTAACTTGATCTAAATCTCTAGATTTTCTTTCTCTACTTTTGAAAAACTTATAAATATTTCTTTCACCATAATTTGTTCCAAAATTTTGATGGAACCCTTCAAGAGTCTCAAATTGTACTTCACTCACTGCTTACTTGTTTTATTTCTTACATTCCAGTATTTGCCAAATTTTCAACATTGTTGCATGTATGTAAAATTTTAAAACACAATCTTTTTTCTAATCTAAACCTTCATCTTCTATCATGATTCCTTGTCTTTTGGTCAAAAACCTCTTGATTCACCTAAAATTTTCTTGGCAATTTTCTTAATCTTCATAGTTATTTTGTCTCAAATGATATTAGCACTACCTTGTGTAGACCAACTATCCTCTTCTACTAACTACTTCTAAATGTCCAACTAGTTCTTAACTAAGTAGCCACCACTTAATTCTTAGAATAACGGTTTGTTAAATTCTCTATATACCAGTTTTGGAACGAATATCCAAAACTAAGATTATATGTTGTGTAGTAAGGCTCTCACTTAGAATCATTTTATAATCTTTGCAAATTCTTTTGTGTAAATTCCGTACCAAGTAAAAATCAATTTGCAACCTTGAAACCCTACTCTTATTAATGATTAGATGTTCCTCCCTCTTCTTAAAGCAAATATTTATAATCTTAAAGTCGTAGGTCATTGAGAAATCAAGGATATTGTCCGGCTTCATTTAACTCTCCAAAATCAAAACCACCATGAACCATTATAAATTGTCTTGCCTCACACTCAGCATGACCATTAACTCCTTTAAATCCTACCAGGACTTTGCTTTCAAGAGGACTTCTGAGCCAACTTATAGAGCATAAAGATTGATGATATTAATAGTGTCTTGTACAACCAATAACATCAAGAACGTGATCCTATTTTCAATCTTTTTAATCTCTACCGTGTTCTTTTTCCTAATATTATCCATAATTATGCCTACTCCGTTTCTTTTTTTAACTTTTCCTCATATAAAGTTTGAAACCTGTAGTATCTAGCTCCTTTACCTTATTTCCAAACCATTTTGTTTTTTAAAGGTATATGATATTAATCTTTCTATGAATCTTAGTGTCTACCAATTCTAACGAGTTTCTAAAGTACCGATATTATATGAACCAAACCGAAACACGCTTCTTCGAATAACTTCTCTACCCATATTAGTCCAGCCAAATGTGAGGACTCTTGCATTTAATATTACATCTGAGTGCCGATACATCACCTTTAAGATCATTTGACATTGCACTTGAGTCATACAATGCATTACTTTCGGGTAACGACTTAACCTTAATATCGTCATGTCAAAGGCCTAATACAATCTTACTCCTTTACTTGAGCTTGAGACCGACTATGGGGCCATAGGCAGAGTTGTTGGAGTTGATGGCAAAGTTAACTAATTTTCCATATTGGAAATGCAGGTACTTGTCAAGGAGTAATTGCCTGGAATATGGAGGATGGAACTTTACATCGATTCCAAGCAGCATCAACAATTTTGGCCACTGGGGTACATGATTTTCTTTTGCATGTTTGACACTTAACATTGAAGATTCTAATTGGACTTCACTTATAATGGACGTGTGTGTCAATCTTGTGTTTCACATCAGGGCTATGGTAGAGCATACTTCTCTGCAACCTCAGCACATACATGCACCGGAGATGGCAATGCCATGGTTGCACGTGCTGGGATCCCACTTGAGGTTTCTTTTGGGATTTGAAAATTTCATTATTGAGATGAATTTTTTTATAGCAAGTCTTTTATCACTCACACTCTTGTCATAAATTCTGTAGGATTTAGAGTTTGTGCAATTTCATCCAACAGGTATATATGGAGCTGGCTGCCTTATCACGGAAGGTTGGTGATTTTAAGTCCTTATTTGCATTGATGGCTTGCCTTTAAGTTGAAATATATTGTGCTTCTCATTTTCTTTCTTGGGCCTTTGTAGGTTCTCGTGGCGAAGGTGGAATTCTTAGGAACAGCGAAGGTGAGAGATTTATGGAACGATATGCTCCTACTGCAAAGGATCTTGCATCAAGAGATGTAGTCTCAAGATCAATGACTATGGAGATCCGGGAAGGACGTGGTGTAGGTATGCAGGCTTTAAATTGATAATTTTATGTTGTGATAAAAGGTCTATAAAACATATAAAGAATCTATTAGTTTGTAATTGTACATAATTGTTGAGATATTACTTTGATGGAAACCAGTGTTTGAGCATATAGAGTTGTATTCAAGTTTGCTCTTTCTAGAAATACACATTATTTTCTTGAAGCATGACCTTTGTATTCCCTGTATTGGAAAATATTTGATCTTCCAGTTTAGTTGGACATTTTTGCTTGTATTGACATTGGAAATTATTTTCAGGACCCCTGAAAGATCACATCTATCTCCACTTGAATCACTTACCCCCAGATGTTCTCAAGGAGAGACTACCTGGTATCTCTGAAACAGCTGCTATTTTTGCTGGTGTGGATGTAACTAAGGAACCCATTCCTGTTTTGCCAACAGTGCATTATAACATGGGTGGTATTCCAACGAATCATCATGGAGAGGTATGATGCTAAAACAAATTGGTTAGCCTCCACTGAAAGAAAAAAACCAGAAAGAAAAATAAAAACCGAATGTAACATAATTGGTCACAGTCATGCCTAAATATAATTTCTTGCCGAGCAACTGTTTAATACTGTTATCAATTCGCTTACTTAAGACTACCTGTTTTCATATTTGAAGAAAACTTTTGTTTCTATTTATCCGTCATTTTAAGTTTCGAGATAGCATTAATTACTATTTTCTCAATTATACCCATGTTTAAGAGAAAGAAAGAGTGTGAAATGTCTAAGTAATAATTGAGAGATATAAAGGACATACTAGGAAATTATAGATGACTTTTAATATAAATGAAGAGATTAATTATTTTTCTTAATCTATCTGCTATTACCTTAAATGATAGATAAAAAGAAATAGAGGATAGGGAGAGTAGATAGTAATCAACAAAGAGTACATACCACAGGGCTGATCATTGTTTGGATTTGTGCCCTTAAACAGAGAGAGATTGAGCAGAAATGGATTTGACTATTCTTTATTATTGAAGCAATTTTCCATTTTATTCATGCTACTACTGAACACCCAAACAGTTTAATTAGATGTCTTCTAAACATCACAGGAATGAATAAAAACAGATAAAGTTCACTCTTGGCTTCTTTTCATGTTGAAAAATGCTGTGTTCATGAAGTTATCACAAAATCTGTGATCCAAGTCATGTGGATAGCTATGAATTCATTTATTGATGGGTTTACCTAGATGTCATTCTAATATTTTGGTGAACCATTTTGTACTTGTAGCATAACTTTATTCCCATTACTATGAATATTAGATCGTGTATAATAACTAACTTGCATCATTGCACTCAATTCAATCTATCAGCGATTCTAATACAATTCTATTATTCTTTTCTGAATCTGTCTTCCTAGTGAATAATTAGTGCCTTTTTAATTTCTCAAATTGCTCCTCCTGCAATTTGAATATATATATATATATATATATATATATATATAGTGCTTTTAGTGTTCTCTGTACCCTTCTGTCTGTCTGGCAATAGTGAGATCTTTTCTTATTAATTTCTGTCTATGGCCTACATGATTACTTGTTTGGATTTAATGAGTCAGTCTTATACTGTCATGTGTGCAGTTCATACAAGAGTTGCGGTCTTATTCTTTGAATTAGTTGCATTTCGTTTCACTTTTCTTTAATAGAAAATGTAGTCTGATATGACGTTTCTAATTCAGGTAGTTACTATTAAAGGTGACAATCCAGATGCAGTAGTTCCTGGATTAATGGCTGCTGGGGAAACAGCATGTGCATCAGTCCATGGTGCCAATAGACTCGGTGCAAATTCACTTCTGGACATTGTGGTTTTTGGTAGAGCTTGTGCAAATAGAGTTGCAGAAATTCGTAGGCCAGGCAAGCTTCATTTCCAGTTACTAAAATAGATAAAATAGACACTGAAATGAGGTGATAAAATAGTACCTGTTTTCCGTTTTGCAGGAGAGAAACAAAAGCCTTTGGAGAAAGATGCCGGTATGAAAACTATTGCTTGGCTGGACAAATTGAGAAATTCTAATGGGTCGTTGCCAACTTCAAAAATTCGGTTGAATATGCAACGAATAATGCAAAACAATGCTGCGGTGTTTCGTACACAAGAAACATTAGAAGAAGGTAATCCTCTGTTGATCAATGATACCTGTTCTTCTTACCCCCTTCATTTCTTTCCCCAAGTGACGTGTCTAACCTTTACTGCTTCCATTATTATCTTCTTTCTCTGATTTTCATCTGGTGTGGCAGGTTGTCAATTAATTGATAAAGTATGGGAGAGCTTTCATGATGTCCAGTTGTCAGATCGAAGTTTGATATGGTAAAACTTCTATGACCAATGTTGCACATGTTCCTATTATTTCAAGAAATCTACTCGTCCATTTTAAAAGTTCATTGGCTCTCAGGAACTCTGACTTGATGGAGACTATTGAATTGGAAAATCTTTTGATAAATGCCTGCATCACCATGCACTCAGCTGAAGCGAGAAAAGAAAGTAGAGGTGCTCATGCCCGTGAGGACTTCACGGTTGGTGCTATCTTCTGTATAAATTTCACACCATTAATATGAATAATGGTTGTCTGACTGAATATGTTGCTTATCATTTACAGAAAAGAGATGATGAGAACTGGATGAAACACACTTTGGGGTAAGTCATGTTTCAATTAATTTGCTATTTAAAAAATTAGACATTTGAATTCAGTTGGTTCTCTTCATTTCTAGTGGGAACCTGATTCCTTTTGTGTATCTTACTCTGTTGATTCTTAAGAGCACCAGAGCTTGAGTCTTGAATTTCTTGTGTTGTTAGAGAAGCCAAACAGTCAATAAACTAGTGACGTGACAGTGGAATAATATCTTGATTGGCAGTATCTGGTGTTTGTATTATCCTAAAGTCAATAAATACGTAGACTGTTAAAAACCTATTTTGTAAATTCGTCCTTCCAAGTGATCCTTGCTTGAAGATCCTGTCACTAGGTAGTTTTTACTTTTCGTTCCAGCAAGAGATAACCTTTAAGTAATTTTGGGTCTTTGCAGTCTTTCTTGTAAACGAATTTGAAGTGGTGACATGATGCAAAATTGTGCATACATCGAGTTTTGGTGGCAAATCACTATAAATGTTTCTGTTTATAGTCGTAAGACCAAGAACACTGAATTAGTTATTTTGCAACCCACTGGTGAAGTTGAAAAGTTTCCGATTGACCGCAGGGCGTGCAGGGGTTGTTGGGTCAACTAGTATGCTGGATTTGTTGCAGTAACATTATCGATGATAAAATACTTGCGTCTGCGAGTTGCTCCTGTTAGCTAAGCTTTTTGTGAATTGATTTTGCAGATATTGGGAGAATGAGAAGGTCCAGTTAGATTACAGGCCGGTGCACATGAATACTTTGGATGAGGAGGTTGAGTCATTCCCTCCTAAAGCTCGTGTTTATTAATATGCTTGCTAAATTATTATGGATGGCTTACACGGATTGTTTCGCGAAATGTGGAATGACAAGTGCAAGTGAAAGACTCTGATAACGATTGTTTTATTCATCATCAATGTTAGACTGCTCTATTCCAGCGCATCGTCAATGCTACAATGTCTGTATTTAAAGCCGAGAATAATAACAATTAATCCCAGCAAGTTTTACTGCTCTCTTGATCAATAATTTTGACCAGATGTACTATCTGCTGAGTAGATTATTTGTACCCACATAAGGTTGTGCAAGGATTAAATTGACAAAAAAATTAATTCAAATCTAATTATACGAATTAAATTTTAAATTATTTTATTTTTTTAACTTTTTAAAATAAGTTTTAAAATTTAGATTTTATTTGATACTGGTTTTAGGCCAAATCGGATTTAGAACCGATTTCAACTAAAATTGGATCAATACTATTTTTTGTTGAAAATAGTTTTAAATTTAATTATTTACGCAAAACTAAGTTTAAACTTATTTTTTAATCTAGTTTTTTAAGGCAAAATTAATTTTAAATTTTATAAATTTAGTTTTTGAGTAAAAGTAATTTTAAATTCAATTTTTGTTTTGGTTATCAATTTTGAATTCTCTGTAACTAAACTACATGCCATGTAATAACATTCAAAGTCTAAGAAGTAATAAGGAATTTACTGTTAAATTATTACATATATAAAGCAAGATTTAAAGGTGGCATGAAAATCATGGGGAAGGACGATGCACTTGACCATCAGTATGCAGTAGGATATTTTCAGTGTTTAGGGATTTGTGTATTATTTCATTTGAAAAGAGATGTGAAATTGTAGAAACATGTGCGAGTACCAATTTAATAGCACCAAATGCATCAATGAGGTCAAATAAAAGAGAAATTATTAAAATGATGCATATCATAGTTGAAGATTAAAGAGACAACATCAGAATTACAGAAGTTTGTAACGGGACAATATTATATTGAAAAGTACTTGTGCATTATAAGAAATTACAATACAAAGAGTATAATTATTGTCTTCCTTTGTTATCATTAAACGTAACCATTGTTCTAAAGTTTAAAAACTCCTCTTGCTGCCATCAGTGTACTCAAAACAAGAAACTATAACTTTAGAATTTTGATAAAGAAGTCTTCAATGACAGTCCACTGTTGGCCGGTGAGTTGTTCTAGATGAGCAATTCAAGCTTTCAAAGTTTGCCTTCAAGATATTGTTGAAGGCTCAAAGAGATGTTTGCTATTCAAAATCTTTTTAAGTGAGATTCCTAGAAATTTATTTCCTGAGAATATATTTTTGTTAAGTAACTTGTTACCTATATTTATTTACTAAATAACTTTTCCAAGAATCTTTTTATTTTCTCTCATTCTCATGTTTGGTATTAAAATAACTTATCCAAAAATGTTATTACTTTTACAAAAATACCCTTAACTTACCAAAAATAAGAGCACATGCTTACCAAGAGTGGGAATAGAGCAGCTATGAAGGAGAGAACATGAGAGAGACTAGTAAAGTAGAAAGAAAAGAGAATGCAAAAATGATTTGCAATTGATAAAGTGAAGTAAGGTAAATGAAACATTTTTGTCTAAAAATTTCATATTCTTGGGTAAGTTGAGGATATCCACCTGTTGAGGTAGGAAAATGAAAATTTCAATTTCTTCACAATTCAAGTTTCCTACGAATCTCATATTCCTGAGAATATGTTTTTGTATCTTATACCAAACATAGGTAAGGAAAATTTTTAAGTAACGTTTCTGAAAAAATTAAAAGTTTCTGGACACCTAAGACTCTCTAAGGGGGTGTTTGGTATCTAGAATCTTTTTAAATGAGATTCTCGAGCATGTGTTTTAGATAACTTGTTACATTAGAGGGTCTTTGGTATCCAGAATCTTTTTAAATGAGATTCTAGGAAATGTGTTTTCTAAGTAACTTGTTATCCATATTTATTTACTAAGTAACTTTTTCAGAAATCTTTTTATTTTCTCTCATTCTCATGTTTAGTATTAAAAAAACTTATTCGGAAATGTTATTACTTTTTATCAAAATACCCTTAACTTAAATAAAAGATATATAAAGCTCTGCAAATAATGGCAACAAGTAAACCAACAAAAAAAATAAAGAATAAGTAAAGCAGTGCAGGAAAATAAGAGAGGAAAATGAACAAAAATAAGAGCACATGCTTATCAAAGAGTAGGAGCAAAACAGCTATGAAGAAGAGAGCATAAGAGAGACTAGTGAAGTAGAGAAAAAAGAAAGTGCAAAAATGATTTAGAATTGGTAAAGTGAAGTAGGGTAAAGGAGACATTTTTGTTCAAAATTTTTAGATTCTCATGAAAGTTAAGGATACCCATCTATTGAGATGGGAAAATAAAATTTTTGATTTCTTCATAATTCAAGTTACCCGTGAATCTCACATTCTCAGGAATATTTTTTTGTATCTTATACCAAACATGAGTAAGAAAACTTTTTAAGTAATATTCCCCAGAAAGTTAAAAGATTCCGGATACCAAACACCCCCTAAGGGTTATTACAAAGAAAGATGAGTGAATGTAAGCATGAGCATGACTATATTTCCTTTATACAGGTCGGGGAAGCACAATGATAAACCTAAATGAGAGAGACATTTGAATATAAAAATGGCCACAAAAACATATAATGTAAAATCGTCTAGAAAGCCAAATAAAAGACCATGAATGAAAAAAAAATAGAAAAAAGAAAGAATGAAATAGGATTTACAAAAAGAATTAAGGGTATTTATAGATTATTTTTCTTCATGGTCAAGGCTTGAAGAGAATGCTTTAGCCATCATCCAAGCTATATGATCTCCTAGAACTAGTTGAGTATCGACTACATTAGTATTTGGTTTAGGCTAATGCTGTTAGACCTTAGGAACCACAGGATACATATAGGACTTTGAAAGTGTATTATAGAAAAAGGGGTAATAATAGGAATTAAACCTATTTTATCCTTTGACGTATTAGTTAGGATTTCTGTAAGAATGAGTTAGTTTTCAGTTTTAAGGGATAAGGGTGGCTTGTTAGTTTGTAACAAAAGTTGGTTACCCCAACCTACTTTAAATAGGTATTATGGTTCTTACCAAATCCTCAAGAAGATTGGAGTTGTGGCGTACTGACTATAATTACCACCAAAAGCACGAATACATCTGGTATTCCACATCTCTCAACTCAATTCTTTTTTGTTAGAAACAAACGGGATATATTTCAGTGTGAAAGAAGTAGTTTCCTTTGTGTACTTGTTTTGCTAAAATTTTATAAACTCAAGGACAAATAAGGCCCTTTTGCTCTCTAACATCTCAAAAATCTTAACAAAAGCTATCTTTGTTCATCGTTTATCAACAAACAAAGTGTGATCTTAAAAGGTATTAGGTGGGGATGTTGTTTGAACTTTTTATCTTTATTTGGGATAGATGAAAGACAAAGGACAAAACAGTGTAGGACAATGAGGATGCATGTGGTCAATCAACCACTTGTCTTTCTCAAAGATTAGCCATGGCCACTTCAAAGCATCTTTATCATGGATGATAGAATGGTGGATAGGTGTGGGTTCAATGATGCAAATTTTTTCTTACAAATAAGGATTACCCTAAATATACTTCAAGTGATGTTTTGCGTTGTCAATTTATCAAATGTTTTGAGACTTTGAATTTATTGGATGGGGAAAGAGAGGTTGATGGTGGATTTATGGAGGTGAATGAAGCGTTTGGTGATGAAATGGTCTAAAAAGGGATAGACCCTTTAAGTCATTCTACTATTGTCAGTTGCTTTTGAATATATTTCTTTTTAGTAGTAAGAGTTTAGTTTGTATGCTTTATTTTTCTTTTGGTCTTAATTATTTCAACAATAATAATCACTTTAAGATATGTTTTGAGACTTTGAATTTATTGGATGGGGAAAGAAAGGTTGATGGTGGATTTATGGAGGTGAATGAAGCGTTTGGTGATGAAATGGTCTAAAAAGGGATAGACTCTTTAAGTCATTCTACTATTGTCAGTTGCTTTTGAAGATATTTCTTTTTAGTAGTAAGAGTTTAGTTTGTATGCTTTATTTTTCTTTTGGTCTTAATTATTTCAACAATAATAATCACTTTAAGATTATTTTCTTCAATTGGCTCTAGTCTCTTTAGAGTGACAATCTTTGTCTTTTTGGTAATAGACAATTAAAACATTTTATTTAGTTTATTGGTATCGATCCAGTGTTAACCTAATAAGCAACTCTCATAATTTTTTTTTCTTTTTCTTCATCTTACAATAATGTGATTTTCACTTTCTACCACAACCATGTGAATAAAAATTCCCCATTTATTTGAGATTTGTGGCTTTAAATTAGTCCAAACGACCACCTATTCACATAAGAATTAGACATTCAGTTTGATTTTACTTAAGCAAATCCTACCATTTTTGCCAAAAGAAAAAAAAAAGGATTGACAAAGGGGATGTAGGAAAATGAGGTGGAGCTAAAGGGTAGAGGCTAAGGGGAGCATGAGAACGAAAAGGGAGAGTAGGGTGGGTTAGGGTAAGGGCTGGGGAAGGAAAGGTTGAGGGGAGCTTGGGGATGGGGCAAGGAAGAGTGAGACTTAGGGAAGGGAAAAAGGAGAGTTGAGAAGGAGAAGAGAGACTCACTTAAAGCAAATATATTTTTGCTTAAGAGAATTTGAAACTAGAAGTCCAGTTTTTCGTGCAAATAAGAGAGAATTTGTCTCTAATAACCCTTAAGTTGATATTTTATTTATAGTAACTAAGACAAATATCTTGCAATTGATATAAACTATGCTTCTACATTCAACAAGGCAATTGAATTTTACTTTTTGCGTGCCTAAGATATAAGGTTTTCTTTAATGAACTAACATGCTCAACTTCTATTTTTTCTTTCCACTCTATCTCTAGTAAAGTTAGCATTGTAAAATCCTATTAACATGAAACTTGTGTGTTTATTAGACCATAATCAATAGGTTCTACAATAATAATTATTATCACTGCTTAATGATCTAATTGTTAATTAATTAGGTTCTACAATAATACACTATGATAATAAATTATTAATTCACAATGTTACGAATTCATTTACCAAAAAATAAAGCACATCAAGATTGATTGTCATGTAGCTAAAATAAAGTTCAAGATGACATAATTCTCCTAATTCCAAAGCCTCTCAATCTTAAGACAAAAATATCTTAATAAAACTTTAGACTTTGGGCCTCAAATGAAGGCGGGAATGTTAAACATTAATATTCTAACTTGGGAGATGTTATAAAATCCATAAAATAATATAATCATGACAAATAATAATTTTTATTATTATTCTATT